TGTTTGTGTACTCTGCAGAGGTGTGTGGCTTCTGCAGGAAACCTGTGGCTCTATCTGAACCCGCAATAGAGGCCTTGAACAGGACGTACCATGATGGTTGCTTTCAGTGTAGATCTTGTCACATTCCCCTGGCTGGTAAACAGTACTACAACAAAGCAGGAATCCCCCTCTGTGAAGACTGCTACCAGGTAGATACTGCCCTGCACGATTGATTGTTTTTGGATTCTTATTTACTTCTAATCATTCATGCTTTATGTTAATGCTAACTGTTCTCTTAAGACTGCTTTGATGTTTTACATATTTGAATAGGGGTGTTTCCATACCTTCCAGGTGGCTATAGTTAGCTTGCACAGAATTTAAGATTATCCAACGTGTCACCTGTTGTTAATAATGTTGTGTTATCATTGCATGGCGTGGTTAAAAAATACCAAAATATGAGCTTCAAAAACCGTACATATGATATTTAAGTGGTTTGGTTAAACAGTAGAATTTTTGTTTTATTATTTTGTGAGAGAAGTGTATTCCATAACCCTTTTTTCTCTCTCTTAGGCTAGTCTGGAGCTTTGCTGGGCCTGTGGGGAGGTTATCACAGATCATGTGATCCGTGCACTGGAGCGAGCGTACCACCTTTCTTGTTTTACCTGTGCAACATGTAAACAGGAAATTGGAGAGCAAGCTTTTGCTCAGGGAGAAGTTGGGGAGGTGTATTGCCTCCGGGACTATTACAGGTATGATTGTTAAAATTGTGTCAAGCAAATCGCATGAAAACAATCCACAACTCACTTAAGAGGATTTGTGTAAAAAGTGTAAGAAAGAAAATCAACAAATTGCTGTTGAATTTGTTCTTATTATGCTCACCTTGAGTATTGATGACTTTAAACTGGCTATGTTTGAAAGGTGCTATGCAAATGAAGTTGCCTCGACTTATCTAATATTATTTTCTCTCTAAAATGTTGTCCATAAAGGAAGTATGCTCCAAAGTGTAATGCCTGCAACAAGCTAATCATTCCAAAAGAAGATGGTACTGACAGCTATAATGTTCAATGCCTGGGAAACTCATACCATGAGAACTGCTACAGATGTGAGGTAGGAACACAGTGTGTAGCAAACTGCACTGTACACAATGACCGGTGTGCAAACACACATTAATCATCACCAGTGGATAAGTCTTTCTTATCGTCTGCAGGTGTGTGTCATCCAGCTCTCTCCTGAACCAAATGAACGCGGCTGCTATCCATTGGAGGGGAAGTTGCTCTGCAAAACCTGCCATCTGAACCTGGTTTCTGGCCAGCACTAACACTGGCCTTGGAGCCGAGACAAACGAATGAAAAAATGTCACCACTCCAGGTTTAAAAATAATGGGTGACTTCGCATGTGCATTTTACTCTGGATTACAAATGTCACACATATTTTTCAACAATGAAATATGTTTGTTTTTTCTTTCTTATTTTGGATTTTTTTTATTACAATATATCGTGCTTTCTGAAAATCCTCCTTTTCTTATTTTATACTTGATAAATTTGCACTCAATAAAATACAAAATGCACCAAATATATTTATGCAACAGCCTTTTCCAAAATGTACGGCGAGCATTATTTGAGTTTTTTGTAAAAATCTTAATCAGTATAGACCTAGTGTTTCTCAATCACATTAACCCTTTGTATTAAAAAAAAAACTTTAAAAAAGTAAACTAATATATTTTATCTAGAGGCAGGCTCCAACATCTCCAACATGATATTTGCTAAATACACACATACACTTTCATTAAGGGTAACAATGGGAAAGAAGATTAACATTTAACTCACAACTCTTATATTGGGGAGAAAATTGACCACGGATATTAGAGCTTGAATAAAATAAAGTGTAACAGATACAATAGCACATCTTAAAGCAATTATTATGGACCAACACTTGAAGATGCTTTTGATGTGACTTCATTTAGAATATATGAAGATTTTTTACGGACCATATATGTTGTACTTTTGCCTGAAAAATAGAACTATTCACACTGAATTGATGTTTCAAGGTTAAAGTCTAATTCAGATCCCAGCTGAAATGTTTCGTTATTTATGTTCTGTATAACAAAATTACATTTGTGTATAAATATATTTCTTTGTATCAGACACATTTATTAAAACATTTTCTGTAAAAAAAATAAAAGCATTTGTGTTGTCTTTTTCTGGTCTTTAAAGTGAGCTTATATAACTTTTGAAATACATCAGCCATTCCCCTGACTCTAATCAATATCTTCCCCTTCTCATCATGAACATAGATCTCTGGGTTTCAGACATTTGAAAACATTTTATGTCCTTGGAATGTGTGATGCACATTACTCCCTATCTTCTGACATTAGAAATGTAACAAGAAATTGATTAACTGGTCCAGAGATTTATATGTAGGCTAGTCCTAGTTTTTGCTTCTGTTCACAAACAATACAAAAAAAACATTGACTGTGGTTGCAATTATCAGCAGCCCATTAGGAACTATTTGTCAGGGAATAGGTTCAACATAAAGGAAAATGTTAGATTCCTTTATTTACAGCGTTACCGCAAAAGTGACATAGCAGGTAAACAAGGGAGAAAATATTATAGCTAACATGTTAAATGTGGAGAAAAGCACACATTAGTAATACAAGAATAATAAAGACAAAGAAGTACTTATCCATGGCAAACAAATTGTAGCAGCGTTTATAGCTTAGTGAACATATAAGCTATGTTTTGCCCACACAAATTGTGTATTGCACATTACAGGTTTATTGCACAACAGTCTGTATTGTCAGGGGCCGTGGTGGTTGTGATCTGAGTGCTGCAAGTCCAAGATCACATAATAATATGTTGTATAATATTGATATCAAATAATTCAAATGTAAGGCATGTATCCAACACAGGAGCGTTAAAAAGATGATGGGATCTACGTGTATGTTACTGGTATTATGATAGAAAAACATTGATTACCTTGCAGACAGCACCACGTGACCGCGAAGACAAGTCGCGGGCTTAAGGTTGTTCCTCGTTGAAGAAATCGCGTGACGATTGTTGTTGTCTATTCGTAAACTGTCGAGTACGCGCAAGCACGTCGAGTTCGGGGCCGCGCAGCTCGCACCCAAAACCCATCAGGAGCGAGTCTCACGCTCGTGCCCGTACATGGATCAGGGACGCAGCGACAGCAGCTAAAGCTAAACGGGCAGCAGCTACCAGGCCCAAATTATTCACACCGTCGTTCATTTTGTTCAGGCGGACCTCCGACCGGCAGGGAATAGAAAACGTGCGAGATCATATGTGGTTGAAGGGGGGAAGAAAAGCTCAAGATGGTTCGGGAAACCAGACACCTTTGGGTGGGAAATTTACCCGAACATGTTCGAGAGGAGAAGATCGTGGAGCATTTTAAACGGTGGGTTACGCAAGCTGTGTTGGCCGAGCAGCGCGCGCTAGGTACTAACGTTAGCTCGTCGCAAAGGGCAGCCTAATGCTAACACGGCTAACGTTAGCATTTTACAAGTTTTACAAGTCAGAGGGTTTCTGCCTTTGTTATGTTGCAGCACAGCAATGTTATTTTAACAAGGTGTTGGTTATGGTACTGCTTAAGTGGACATGTTTACGGTTTGTAGTATTTGGCTAACTTTTGCTAAAGGAGCCAAGTAGCTAGGTGTGCTAGCCACCGAGCTACCACCCAACCAACCAACCATTTTGTGGGAAGTCGAGACGTTTTCATGATCAGTAAAAGCCAAACGTCAGCTAGCGTTAGCGGAGCAGCAGGTCAGATAGCATGACATGCCGTGTGTTATTTAGCAACGGGGACGTGTGCTTCACAGCGCTATTGCTCTGGTCAACAGTGTTGTTAGATAAATATTAAATGTAGAGAAGATACAATCGGCAACCGATCACTGAGCTCACCGACCTGCAAATCTAATGTTAGCTAGTTGTTGTGCTGCTTCACGTCGAAGTACTTGAACCCTGCTAACACACGCAGTGTTGTTTTCTAATTTTGCCAATTTACAAATAAAAGCAAACCAGGTGTTGCTCTCAAAAACAACGTTAGTATTTTAATATACAGGAAGCTAACAGGATACACTTCATGATCCCCATGTTCGTAGAAGTAAATACAAACCAAGTAACTTTATTATTTGCTACATTTTTGTGAATACCATTTGAATAACTTCTCATATAGCTCATCTGCAACACAATAAACACTACAGCCAGTGAAAGTTAATGGTAGCTATTGCGGTACACAATAACAAGTGGTGTGCTGTTTTGATGAGATGCTTTTTATAGTTGTTGAACACGAACATTTGGCATGTTTTAGTACCCGGAGGGATGTTTGATTAACGACAGAAACCTCCCAACATGACTTGTAACGCTAAGCATAGTCGCCCAGCATAACTGTCGCCGACACTGACAGTTTTATCTGTTCAGAGGCCTACAAGGAAATGTTGGTGTTAATTTTCTTTAGTTCATATTTTGAGAAGGATCATTGCTCTTTGCTTTTATTATCAGGGTCTCTATTGCTCTCCATTTACAGAAAAATGGCTACGCTGGCTCTAATATTAGCTGGTGTATATGTAATTTCCTGTTTGTTTTTATTGTCATTTCCTTTCAGGTATGGCCGTGTGGAAAGTGTTAAAGTTCTGCGGAAGCGAGGGTCAGAGGGCGGTGTTGCAGCCTTTGTGGATTTTGTGGATATTAAAAGTGCGCAGAAAGCTCACAATGCTGTCAACAAGATGGGAGACCGGGACCTTCGAACTGACTACAATGAACCGGGGTCAGTCCCTAGTGCTGTTCGAGGCCTTGAAGACAGCTCCCCCTCGAGCAGTCGAGACGTTACAGGATTCTCTAGGGCAACAGTTGGTCCAGTGTTTGGCCCACCTGTGTCCCTGCACACCAGAGAAGGACGTTATGAACGGAGAATAGAAGGGTAAGTGGACACGGCCTCCCCTTAAATACCAGGGGAATCGAGGTATTGGATAGGTGTAAAACCTAAACACATAGTGGGGTTATTCATGAGGGATATATGCCTCAAGGGAGTTGCACAAAGGTAATTAGGGATCCACTTTTCATCCTAATTGACTCGCCTTTCCCATGGGATTTAAGTAAATTAACCACACATTATCATTTGGTAGTGTAACTTCTTATTCAAGGTCTGACATCTGGTTTGGATATTACATCTGTGAGGAATATCCTGGTGAGTTTTGGATTTATTACATTTTGTGGGAAACTACCTTGGGGCCCTATTGGATACTTTTAAACATTTTCCTCCTAAATACGGGATATATCCTCGATTTTTACTTGGAATCGCTTGAAACTGGAAGTAAATCCCTATTATGAAGGATGTACTTTTCTTTGAAGAATCCATGCAGGTAACATATCATTATGTGAAGGATCTCCTCGGGTTGTCGACATTTTCTTCCTCATGGCCACATCAGACGGATGGACTACTTTTTATGATTTTTTTGCATCTGTGGATACGGCCCACTCTGGATTTACGTTTTGAACAACTGGATAGAAGAACCTCCTATTTATTAAACATTACAGGAAAGACAGATGTAGTGCGTACATCCTAGGCTATCTCAGTCATTAAAGTTTCAGGTTAACTTTTTATATTAAATACATTTTCTTCTCAAATATGGAAGCTATACGAAGAAGACTTCGCAAGATCACAGAGGATCCAACCACCACTTTGTGGAGCTATTCTTGTTGTGGATTGATGGCCATGAAGACCTGTGAAGACTGCATAGTTGGATGTACCCTCCTGGATGTATGCAAAGCATTTGGGATGTACTGATGTGGACCCTAGTATGGATAGGTGTAGATGCCATTCGTTTGGATTACTCAAGTGTGGATGTAGCTGTGTAAGACCTCTTCCTCAGCTCAGTGGGGAGAAGAGCACTCGTGTAACAGAGAGTTGAAGATAACCTTTTCCAAGTTACTTACTAGATGAAGCCTTCAATTACATAAACCTGATAAGATCCTAGGATTGTGGAATAAAGACATGCCTATGAGCCCATCTGGTGTTTTCGTGCTGTGATATTAGTATATGTGAGTCTACAAGCTTGTTTGACTACTTGATATCAGCAGTGGAATATATTTTCCCCCCTTTTTCGCAAGTATCCTGACTTTTGGAGCATCCTCGCACTTCAAGACAAAATTTATCCAGTTGGATGTATTTTCCATCCGGGCAACAAGTTACTGTGTAAACGAGCTGGATTTAGCTGAAAGTTCATCTTAAAAAAAATTATTATTACGGTCTTATGTTCCTATATATTTTTTTACCACATGTCCAGAAATCCATGAAGAAGTCCATCTCTGTGATTGTTTTTTTCCTTTTTCCATTCAATGAAGAGAATAAAGTAGCTGTGGATTATACGTCATCAACCTACTGACCTGGTGCATCACACTATTTGAAGATAACGTGCAGTGCGAATCAAGAAACCCGTTTTTGTCCAATTAGATAAATAGATTTTTCCCCTTGTTTTTTTCATTCGGGGTCTCACTCTCTGATCCACCTAGATTTTATTTGGATTAGTTTCGGTAACTTCTTTTCCAAAAGGTTGGTATTGCTCTGCCCTCTGCATATTTCTTTCTCTAACATTCCTTAGTGCTTTGTCTAATATCAGGTTTTGCACTGCTTTTAGGGAAAGATTCATTTGATGCAAGAGAGGGAACAAATGTGTATTAGTGCATATACTGTTTACAATACATAAATGTAGAATTTGTCATTTCTTTATGAAAGTGCTTCTTTTTCCAGCATTACATAAATACTACAAAGTATTGTTTTCACATTTACATACATCACTCTGAACTGCATGGCATTTTAGATTTCAATACGGCAGGTACATTCCAGAGACATTTTTGACTTTTTTTCTTACCATCAATAGTTCATTAACAGTCAGCCTCTTAAATCAGCTCCCCAGGAAACCCAGTGGAGTCAAAACTCTTCAAGGTTTTTGTTTCTGCAAATTAAAGTAAATAAAAAAGACTTACAACAGCATTTCAAGATTTCTGGATCATGTGTCCATGTGTAGTTTTTCAAAAATTAAACAAATACGTTTGTAGTGACAACGACTGGGGCAGCTTCTTTTCATGTGACTGTTTATGAATTTTAAAGTATTGAGAAAATTGTGCTTGACGTAGTCCTGTTTCTGTCAAATGTTAATTTAGTTTTAGAATGAGCACAGTTAAGCTATAGGAACGGCGCCACACAAGTCAATCTCACTTTTGAAGCCAAATGACACAAATTTGCCTTAAGAGTCTTTACAATCTCTAAAGCATACAACACCCTCTATCTGTAGACCCTCGTCTGGTGTTTGCAGAGAGTGCCAGCAGTTGATAGGTTGACCCCATTATGTCATGGCTTGAGGAGTCATTTTATTTGGCGTACTTGTATAGTTGTTAGACATTTTTCTACCAATTGTTTATCCTCATATATTGCAGGAAAATGTTTTTTTTTTTCTGAGTGAAAATATGAAACTTTTGTTGTAAAACATTTAGCTAAAAAGTGTATATATATATATATATATATATATTTTTTAAACATGGTTCCAATGAACTGGAACCCTATAGAAGAGATCGATGTTTGGTTTTGATGTTAACACATCAAAGATGACAGTTAGAATAATTAATTTTTGCCTATGGGCATAAATGTCAGAAACGGTTTGTTTAAAAAAAAACTGGCATTGCTATTTATAAGAATATTGATCGTACTTATCTGGCCTGCTCTCAGCTACATCTTTTCTGTACCGACCATTTGGATTTTCACTTAAATGCCAAATCATTTTTCAGGAAATAGTATTTTGCATTTTTTTTTTTTTTTTTAATCATAACTTTCTTTTCTTCTCTATCCTGTTCTTATTTTACAGTAGCTCAGAAACCCGCGAACGTGCATATGATCACAGCCCATATGGACACCATGAGCGCAGTGGCACTTTCGACAGACAGCGCCACTACAACGCTGATTATTACAGAGATCGTACCATGTTTGCTGCTGCTGGCCCTGGAAGTAGTGCCATTGGGGGAAGCTTTGAGGCAGCAGACCCACATTTTGACTCTAGAATTCGAGACCCATTTACTCTTACTAATTCTTCACGGCGTGACCTATACAGAGATGAGAGAGGACGGCGGGTTGATAGGACCTACCATCACCGGAGGAGCCGATCATCTCATTCCTCACAGTCGAGGCACCCTTCTCCACAACGGACCACGGGACAAACCCCTAAAACTCCTCATTCCCCTAAAAGAGCTCCTTTGTCCCCTGGGAGAGGTCCGCGATCTCGATCCCACAGCAGGTCGTCGAGCTCTGATTCTGTCAGCAGCACCAGCAGCACTGGCAGCGGCAGGTGTGGCATTTGTTTTGTTGAGATATTAATGCTTCACGTTTATGTTTGTTGACTTAATTATGTCACTGGCGAACCATCAACGGATATCAGAATATACTTTCTTGACTTGTGTGTATTCATTGTTCTTTTTACATTGATTTCTGGGGGCAACAGTGACTCAAACAGCAGCTCAAGTGATGGATCTCGGGCACGCTCTGTTCAGTCGTCAGCTACTCACGCCCCTACTCAGTCTTCTATGGGGCTCGACTCGGATGAGCCACGCAGAAGCTTTGGGATTAAAGTGCAAAACCTACCAGTACGCTCCACAGGTAGGTTTCTACATTTCAGCAACTCGGAGAGTCTTCCAATCACCAAATGTTCTTTTAATACTGACTCAGAAGTATCTGTAAATTGTAAAATAGGCTAGACAGAACCACGTTATCCATAAATGTGTACATTCTTTATTATTGTGCACAGCACTATGTTTGTTGCTGTACGACACATGTTGTTTTGATGAAATTAATTTGGGTTATGGAGCTACATTTCCATAAAAGCATTTGTTGGAGGATGGAGATTCCTCATCATGTTGTATTCTAATGGAGACTTAATACATCAATATTATCCAATCATGCACTGTTTATTTGTATACAGTTTTGTATTACTATATTTACAGTTATCTTTTAAACACTTAATTGCAGGCTAAGAGCTGTTAAACTTTGTTGTGCCTGACAAATATTTTTATGAAATAAAGTAAATACAACATTAGACATATTTCCTCTGCTTAGGGTGGGCGATACATTGATATACTTTATGTTTTGCAGCTATGAGTAAATTCTATGCCAACAAGAAGTACAAATATGAATTATCAAGTAATTTGGTGCATTTTAGCAAATAGTATGCAGGTCACTGAAGTTAAAGCAAAGGTTTCGGCTCAACAATCTTATATTCTGTAGTTTTACATTGTAAATATTTCAGTGATATTTTGTTCATGAATGTATACCTTTTGAAACCAATGTAGCTTGTAAACTTAAACAAGATGCAGTTGTGTAATATGTTTTTCCTTCCTCTGCAGACACAAGTTTAAAAGATGGACTTTTCCATGAATTCAAGAAACATGGGAAAGTGACGTCAGTGCAGATACATGGAGCGTCAGAAGACCGCTATGGTTTGGTGTTTTTTCGACAGCAAGAGGATCAAGAGAAAGCCCTCACTGTCTCCAAAGGAAAGCTGTTCTTTGGCATGCTTATTGAAGTCATAGCCTGGAATGGTCCTGGTAAGTGATGACAAATATACAAAGTAATACATAAGTAAAAAGTAAATAAATGATTTAATAAACTTGATCTAATCTACTTGACATTTAGCAGCATGTCAGTGATATTAATCCTAAACCGATTATTTTCACCAGAAACAGAGAGTGAAAACGAGTTCAGGCCCTTGGATGGTCGGATAGATGAGTTTCACCCAAAGGCCACAAGGACACTGTTTATAGGCAACCTTGAGAAGACTACTAGTTATCAACAACTCCTTGACATTTTTCAACGCTTTGGAGAAATTGTGGTATGCTACTATTTACGTTTGTTACTGTGCAAAGTTACAATTAACATTTGATGTGTCTCTAATTTATTTATCTTTAATCCTCAAGGACATTGACATCAAGAAAGTAAATGGAGTTCCCCAGTATGCCTTTGTGCAATACTCTGATATTGCCAGTGTCTGCAAGGCCATTAAGAAGATGGATGGAGAGTATCTGGGGAGCAACAGACTAAAGGTAGTGTTTTTACAAAAAACAACAGTAACATTTTGCTCAATTTAGGATTTCCAGGGAACATACGTTTTGTATCTAATATGTGTGTTTCTCTCTTATTATTGAAGCTTGGGTTTGGGAAGAGTATGCCTACAACGTGTGTCTGGCTAGATGGTTTGGCAACCAGCGTTACAGAGCAGTACCTCACACGGCATTTCTGCCGCTATGGACATGTTGTAAAGGTAAGGTGTTATATTTTCCCTTGTTTAAGCTATTTGTTTTATTGTTGTAGTTTTCACAACTCTTAATGTATCTTTTCTGTTTTTTCAGGTTGTGTTTGATCGATTAAAAGGGATGGCCCTCATCTTGTACAACAACACAGATTTCGCTCAGGCAGCTGTAAGGGAGACCAAAGGTTGGAAGATTGGGGGCAATAAAATAAAGGTAAATAATAACAATTATAGGGTTAATTATTTAAACATATTAATCAAACATGTGTGCTAACAACTTTTTTTTATCTATTAAAGGTGGATTTTGCAAGTCAAGAGAGTCAGATGGCCTTCTACCGAACTATGCAGACATCTGGTCAAGACATTAGAGACTTCTACGAAATTCCTACTGAACGACGGTAAATAGCTTGTATTTTTTTTATTGCATGCACAATTTAAGTTTTTTCTTTAAATTCAGCAAATGGAATTGCTTTTCTTTCAAATTATATTAACCCTGATTTAAATATGTCTGATGTTGGGTGTACTCATAATCACAGTTCTATTGCAAAATATTTAAGCACTTTTAAGTCTTAAAAGTGAACATGTTTGAGATGATACATTATTTAGGACCATGGCATTAATAATTTTTCTCTTGCTATTGTTTCTTTTTCTTCCACAGAGAGGAACGGAGACCTCCATACCATGAATTTACAGCAGAAAGGGCTTACTTTGAGAATATACGGACACCTGGCATCTATCCTGAAGAAGCTCGAAGAGACTACGCTGCTCGCAGCAGGGAACGTTTTCCTGAACTGGAACACTTTCAGGGGGAACACTTTGACCCACGTTTTCATGAAGACCCAAGAGACTTCCGGGACTTCAGAGACCCCTTTGAGCAAGACATTCGAAAATACACATATATTCAAAGAGAGCGAGAAAGAGAGCGAGAGCGATTTGAGGCTGATCGTAGCAGGTGGAGCCCTTCCCATCCAAGGCGACCTATTACTCCTACAGTATCACCATCACCCTCTGATCGAGCTCCCAGGGACTCAGAAAGACGCGTTTACAGTCAATCTTCAGAGAGAAGTGGTAGTGTGAGCTCAATGTCACCACCACACTTTGATAAATCTGAAAAGGCCCTGCTTGAACATGCCTCCAAGAGTGACAAGAGTGACAAAAGCAGCCAACCAGAGCTTGTGGCAAGTGCAGAGAAAATTAAACGTACAAAACGAAAAGAGAAAGGGGACAAAGACAAAGCTGAGAAGGTTAAATCCAGGAAAACAAAGGGGCAATCCCCATCCAACCTACTACCGGAAACAGAGCTTGAGACTGGTTTTGATGGAGCGTCTGGAAGAGGAAGGGGATCAGACCAGGATGCTCATGAGAGGAATAAATGCAAGGGGGAAGCTGAACCCTTACCTGGCAATCAGTTGGCAACTGCTCTTGACTCTGTAAAAAGTGACAGATCTGAAAATAGTAAAGGTGAGAACTCAGACTTGGATGGAAAAAATCGACTCAAGAAACATCTAAAGCCTGATATTGGAAATGATGGGAAAGATGTATCCGTTGACTCGGATCGCCTTGAGGCAAGAAAAAGGCGCTTTGCTGATTCAGGTGGCAGGACCATTCGTCAGAAAAGAAGCAGGCATGAAGAGGACGACGCCGTTCCATCTTCAGATTTTGGTGGTGCTGGTGCTCTTATGAAAGAGATTGACACTGACAAAAACAAAGATTCACAACGGAGAGATTCAAGACTCAAAAGTGATAAAAGTAGCACTCAGAAAGATGGTCAAGAGGACCTTAGAGGACAAAGGGAGAAGTCTGAGTCTCTGGACCCACGACATCCAGGGCACATTTCATCTAGAAGGTTTTCACACGAGGGGATTACAGATCAAAGCAGTATAAGAGAACACGAACACCATGCTGCTTTCACATGTGTTGCTCAGAATGCTGACACTGAGAAAAGTGTTAAGAACAAGGAAGACCATGTTGACATTGACCTCTCTCAGAGTTATCGCAAGCAAATGGAGCAAAACAGGCGACTGCACCAGCAGCAACTGCAGCGTGAATCTGACAAGTCTGACAAACCAGGAAGTCCTCAAGAAGCAGAGGACTTGGAACATCGCAGTCTTGTGCATGAAGTTGGCAAACCACCTGAGGATGTAACGGATACTTTTCCATCTCACAAATTAAAGAAAATAGACCTTTTAGAGACTGACTCCGGAATTAAGAGGGAGCGTGTCTACAGGAGAATTAGACAAAAAAGTGAAGATCGTGACTGGAACAACATCTCTCCTCCAGGACATCAGCACTTCTCTCACCATGCAGATGAAGAGTTTTCGGACCCTTCTCAGAAAGAGTTGAGTAGAAATGAGGAAAAACTTCACCCAGATCTGGAGCTGTTGGTCAAAAGGACACATAGCACACAGGTAAACAAGCCAAACACTCCTTTACTTAGTGTGGAAGAAGAGCAACAGAAGAGATGGGAGAGCAGAGTTAAACAAGACTTGTTACCTGACCTAAACTTTTCTAGAGGTCTTGGTAAAAATATTCACAATCGCAAGCGTTTGGAATATGGTATGTGGCATGACCTTGAGCCTGGGGAAGTTCGATCTGACTCTGAAGAGGACAGAGAAGCCAAACCCCACTCTCCAGTGCCCTCCACATCAGTGCCTTTTTCTGAAAGGCCAAGGGTTGATCGATTTTCAGACCCCAAGCTAGCAAGTCTTGAAAGGAACAAATTCTACTCCTTTGCACTTGATCAAACCATCACACCAGATACAAAGGCTCTGCTCGAACGTGCAAAATCTCTCTCCTCTTCAAGAGAAGATAACTGGTCCTTTTTGGATTATGATTCTCACTTTGCAGGTTTGCGCAACAGAAAGGATACTGAGAAGGTGGAATCAGCACCACGTCCTACACCCTCCTGGTACATGAAAAAGAAAAAGATTCGCAGTGGATCTGAAGACAAACTTGATGAGCGCAAGGAGGAGCCCAAGCCGGAAGAACAGGAACGTAGGGAGCTTTTTGCCTCCCGCTTTCTTCACAGCCCCGTGTTTGAGCTGGACACTCGGCGACTTCAACACTTGGAACGCAAACATGAAGAACCTGAGCTTGTAAACCTGCAACCTGGACAGCAAGGTGATGGTGAACTTGACACTGGGCCAGTTGTCCTTTTCCATAGTCGTTTTTTGGAACTTACACGACTTCAACAACAGAAGAATAAACCCCATCAGTTACCAGAGGCAAAAGAAGTCTCAATAATCACTAGTGAGAAAGTGGAAAAAACACCTGTTCAAGAGCAACAAGCAGTGCAGTCTCCTGAAACAACAGAATCCATCATGGAGCCAGAAATCAAACCAATCAGTCCTGCTGAAGAGGCTATTCCTGAACCCCGACTCACACTTACTTCTGTCACCCAATCTGTGGTCAAGGACCTTCCTCCACCGGAAGAGACATTTGTTGCATTAAATCCAACCCCCGATCCATATACCCCCGTGTCTGTCATAAAGGAAGAGATTAAAGTAGAGATCAAAGAGATTGAACCTATTGTACCTATGCACCATCAATTAACTGAGGGCTTATCTGATGCTGAACCTGCACCAGTTGCAGCACCTGCACCCATTTATTCGATGGATAAATATAAAGCTTCTCAATCTGTAGAGAAATATGATAATATCAGTGATGTAAAACCTCTCTGTATAGAAAAACCAAGCCGTCGGGATTCTAATGATGAGCTTGTTAGCATTTCAGAAGCAGAGCTAGATCCTCAGACAACACAACCAGAAGTGCCAGAAGCAACTAGTCCCATTCCACATAGTCTTGTAGAGGAAGAGAAGGAGACCAATGCTATTTGGAAAACAGAAGCAGAGCCTGAGGGAGAGGAGGAAAATCCTCAAGTTATTAAACTGCAGATGCCCATTGATGAGACAAACGACGAGCCCGTTTCACCTCAGAAGGAGTATAAAACGAAAGAAATGAAAAATAAAAAGCTCAAACACTCCCCTGCTCAAGTGGCTCCAGTTCCTGTGGTATCTAACTCTGGTCTGGAGAAACCATTAACACGCAAGAGTGAGCGCATTGACAAAGAGAAGCTAAAACGAGGATCATCCCCAAGGGCTGAATCAAAGTCAACAGGCAAGTCTCCGATTCAGGGATCAGAATCCGAGATGTCCGAGCCTGGCATATCAGCAGGCAGAGCAAGACGAAGAAATGTTAAATCTGTGTATGCCACTCCAGTTGAAGATGATGGGCCAGTTCGTCCTGGAAAGGAAATTCCAGACTCGCCACGCTCTGCCAGAAAGCGAGGTTCAGACAAAGATGCAACACAACAACAAAATATGGAACAGGATCCACCTGCTCCAGCCCCTACGAAACGGGGCCGTCCGCCCAAGAATCGCAAGCAAGTGGACGAGAGTTCAGCATGTAAAGTAGAAAAATCTAAATTGGACAATAAAGACACGGACTCAAATGAATCAGAAGGTGGGGAACGAATACCAAGAGTGTCAAAAGGTAAAACCTCTCCTCATGGCACCAAGGATTCATGGAATCCAATGTCGACAGTTCAAGGATCTGGATTACCACGGAAAGTGAGGAAAAGTGACGCGACTGAGGATGATCAGGAAATGGATTTCACAGATGAAGATTCCATGGTTTTGCAAGATTCATCAAGTTCATTTAAAGAAGATCCACCCATTCAAGTTGAAAAGAAAGAGGAGAAAGACAAACAAGGGAGAGAATTAGGCAGAGATAAAGATGATTTTCTCGATGAGGCTTCTGAAGGTAAATCAAATGGGAAAGAGTCCGATTCCCCAGTTTTAGAAGAGAAATCTGCTTCAGAGAAGATTGTTAGAGGAAAAACCAAGTTGACGAGAACTCCCAAGTCTCCTGTTCTCAAGAACCTCAAAATCAGACTAAATGTCACGGAGGTCAAGGATCTTCTTCAGTTAGGGGATGATGAACTTGGGAGTCAAGAGGATTCTTCCAAAAAGCTCAGACCAGATGACCACAGTGATCCTGTTTCAAAATGTACTAGTGCCGACCAAGAGGGCCCTAACGATGAGGAAAAGGACATTTCCGCTGAGGAAAAACAAGAGCTCCTTGAATCACCAAAACATGTCATTTCACAGGAGCTGGAATTGGAGCAAGCTGTTGAGAACATTGCTAAACTTACAGATCCAACTTTTCCAACAGAACCACCAACGCCACCTATTCCACCTCCAGAAGTCAAAAGTGAGCCAGAGGAAGAAAAACCTTATCCTGCTAGTGAGACAGAACTTATGGCTGCTATTGATTCGATAACTGCAGAGGATGGAAGTGTTATCTCATCCCAAGCGCCTCCTCCAAGTGCTGATGTCGTTTCAGAACCTGAGATACAAAACGTGATACCCTCTGCCAAGGACGATGAACCTGCAACAACAAATACACCTGCCATAAAGGAGGAGCCTGTCTTTCCTACAACACCGAAAAAGGGCCCGAAGGGAAGACCTAAAACACCTAAACGTTTTAAAGGACAAAAGCAAGTAAGAAGAGATTTTAAGGAAGGCCCTTCAATAAGTGAGGAGTTGACAACTCCTTTAGCAGAAAGCCCACCATCCAGTGTAAAGACTGTTCTTACATCAACTCCATCAGCAGCGACCACAACGGTTATCACTCCTACTACTTGGAAGCCAGAACCTGAGCCAGAGCCTTTGGCAGTCAAAGCCACAGATGTAAACAAAGATGGAGAGGCACCTTCTGAAGAACAGATTCAACATCTCAAATCTGTTAACCCCCAATCGAAGAGTCCAATACTTCCAAAGCCCCAACAGGTGCCAGCCGAGTGCACCACCCCTTCCCTGTCTCCACTAGCTAACAGGCCACATATACGACCCATTCAAACAAATAGAATTCCTGTTTCTCCACCAGATTGGCGCCACCAGTCTAAAGATACAGTCTCCGTCTCACCCTTCATGCCGTTATCATCAAAGGAAAACCAGTCTTTACCCTCAGACTCTGACAACATGATTATTGATCATGGCACAAGTGATTTGAGACAGATTCTTATGAAACACAAAAATCTTTCATTGCCAGGCAGTAGTTCTATTCCTGGTAATCTACCCACCCTACGAGACCAGAATCCTTCTGATAGTAATACTCCATCAGCTGTTGTGCCAAATAAGTCACCACTACCTAGCAGTTTAATGGTAGCTCATCCAGCGCCCCCTATAGTTCGACCTCCAGCCTTACTACCATCTCCTGAGTCGAAGTCTGTGATCTCTGTTATTGCATCCACTGCAACCTCTGTTATCAGTCGCGTCTGCAACCCTCCTGAGTCCGATGACAAAGTTAACATAAACATTGGAAATCCCTGTGTGGATATGACTTTACCCAAGCCAACTTATAGGCCTAACAAAGACGATGCTGGATCATACCACGGGCCTGTGGCGGATGAGGTGGGAAGTGCCACACGATTCATTGTCGAGAGCCCCACTCTTGGTGCAGGATCTTGCCCAGGTCTAAGAGTTAATACATCTGAAGGAGTGGTAGTTTTGAGCCACTCGGGCCAGAAAATAGAGGGACCACAGAGGATAAGTGCAAAAATAAGTCAGATCCCACAAGCAACAGCAGGTGACATGGAATCTCAGCAGTTGGTATCCATGCCCCAGATAAAACAAGAAATGTATGGTCATTCTCATCTAGGACTTCAAAAGGGGCCTTCATCGCAGACAGATCATGGGCATCCTGGTAAAATGCAGTCGACTTCTATTAAACAAGAAAGCACGGGTTTGGAAAAGATGGAATCTTCTTACCAACCCGGACCTCAAGGAGTAGTGAAGCGTCTCCCACAAGGTAACCAACAAGTAATGAGTTACCATCAAGAATACATGCCAATAAAACATCAGAAGAAAATGGACAGTGCTGATCCTCACAGTACGGATGGAGCCAAACCATCTTGGACCTCTGCTATAAGTCCTGCAATAAGCCCCCATTTGCCCTCTCCGCCTGGTAACCATGTTGGCTTTGTTACTGCGGCTGGTGACAGAGCTCCCTCTCATATCAGTGGAGTCAAACAAGAACCACGATCCCCTCGAAAGTCAGGTCATCCCCACTCTCCGTTTACTAAAGTGTCCTCACCCATTGGCTCCTCCTCACCCAAGGGCATACCAGGGATGTTATCCACTGGCCTTCCTGCCATGCAACAGTTTATCTCTGGTGTACATCATCAAGAGCAGTCGGTTATCATGCAACCTCACAGTGTGCAAGGAGGCTTGGGACGGATGTCTCCTCACCGTGTTGCCCAGTCAATTCCAGTGGGGCATCTTGTCCAAGGAGATGTTCGGGTTAATACTCCACCTCTCTCTGTGATGAGCTATGGGATGCATAGTGAGCCTCTTGCCTCTCCTTGGTCTGGATCCATGCAGCCACGGCCAACGTCACCACAGACTGTTGGCAGAGACAAGGTTCTCAAGGTAAATCCAGCTTCGTTGAGGGGTCATGAGGGGGAACAAGAAGAAGCCAGGCGCTTCCACCAGGCTCAAGCAAGACAGTCTGCTGCACAATTAAAACCAGAGACTATGCAGTCAGATCCTCGTGGGCGTAGTGTCCAGTTAGAAACATACATGGCACAACGAGATATGCGAGTGCTCTTGCACCAACAGGGAGAGCGCTTGGCCACAGATCCTCATTCTGGACACATTCAAGAGATTCTTCCCCCCTCCTCGGCGCCCTCCAACCTGTCCTTATCCTTGTCTCCAAGAGCACATGTTTTGTCTAAAGGTGTGTCCGAGAAGGATATAACAAAGCAATTAGAGGCAAAGAGGCCACACTCTCCTCTTCCTAAAGATGGATTGATGGGGATCAGACAATCTGGGCAAGCAATGGCATCTCCCCAGAGAGCTCAGCTAATGCCACCAGGACCTAGTGGCTCATTCCCCGAGTACTCGGGGATGTACTCAAACCGAGGAGGCATCCACTCTCAAATACCAGAGACGCCACCTGTTGGACTTAACCAGCCACCTCTGAATGTCACACCAACCATGGTGAGTTCACTGCAATAAACTATCCAGTAGGTTAACCTAGTCAAATGTCATGGAGTCCACATTCCTGCAATAAATCATACGATCTTGAAATGTTCCGTTTTTTAAAACTATTTAAAAAAAGCTGTTGATTTAACTTTATGGTCATTTTGAAAGCTGTTGTATGTGGCGGTAAGCGGGACCGGCAATATAACACTGGCCAACTGAGTAAATATGCAAGATCGGGGTGTCTTCATGTTTCAGAAACTACTTTTCATGACACATAACACTATTGTCTGTAATCCATAGGGTGCAGACCTCCAGACGAAACCAGATGGCAAGATGACGCAGCCTGTTAATATGTTGCAGTTGCTCACGGTAAGACAAAACGTATCAGTTTGAATTGTGTTCATGGTTGTTGGGCTGAACAAGAAGCGGCTTTGTCTGACATGTCTCTGTTTTGTCTCCCATTTAAACAGAAATACCCTATTGTTTGGCAAGGCCTGCTGGCACTGAAAAACGACACAGCTGCAGTCCAGTTGCATTTTGTCTGTGGCAACAAAGCTTTGGCTCATCGATCACTGCCCCTACAAGAAGGAGGCGCATTGCTTAGGATTGTCCAGAGAATGAGACTAGAGGCTTCACAATTGGAGAGTGTAGCCCGAAGAATGACGGTACGTGTCTTTTTTGTTTTAGTCAAACTATGGGTGTGTGGATTAACGCTTTAATGACTTTCACATTCTGCCAATACATGTGATAAACAAGCATACAAAGACCCTAACCCTTAAACAAGAAAAAAAAAAGTGTTTAAGGTTAACAGCTTACTCAGTTGCCTGTTCTCACTGACGACTCAAAGTTAGTTACTAACGCTGAGATTGAATCCCATAACATTTACTAATTGACATTATGACACCGAATACTACTTCCTTAACAGATGTTGACATGTTATTTTCCTTTTGAATCCAATAAATGCATCTATTTAAATAAATCCTTCTTAACATATGTTACTTCACATGGCCTGTGAAAAGAGATGGAATCATGTTTGAGGTCAATTACCCATCTACATTTTGTTATAACGGATAAAACACAGTCACAGCAAAAACCTAAAACGCACTGTGACATACATGTCAGTTCATATCCGAAACCCTAACTCCCTACTGTTTCCTTTGCTGAACAACATTTACATGTTTATTTGTACAGGGGGACAGCGACTTCTGTCTCCTCCTTGCACTGCCATGCGGGCGAGACCAAGACGACGTCCTGAACCAAACTCAAGCTCTTAAGGCTGCTTTCATCAACTACCTGCAGGCAAAGTTGGCTGCTGGTATCATCAATATCCCTAACCCAGGCTCCAATCAGGTGAGACGTGAAGGATTGTTTCACGCCGTCTTGTGTTTTAACACGTTTTCTTTATGGAAGGTTAATCATTATTTGATAAAGGGATTTAGTCCTAGTACTTGGGGGGAAAACAAGTTATTAGTTTAGTCACATTTGAGTCATTTCTATCTTTTATAGTTTTAGTCGGTATGATTTGTCAGCTGTATATTTTATTGAGCCTTACTCATGTATCAAATTTATTTATATTAGCATTTCAATCCATTCTAGGAAAACCAAATATTTTAGTTCTAAGGATCAGGATCTATGACTGGGACAAAGTCAGAGAGCAAACTGAACTGTGTGTTTGAAAGTTAAAGAGAGAAAATGACTACGGGATGGGATTACGTTTTATTTGTTTAACTATCGTTTTTTTCTTTACCAAAATGAACACGGGTGTGACCTCTAAAGTCTCCTTTAAAGATATTGTCTGTTTTCTGTGCGGACTGTATGTTATTATTTCTCTGTCATTGCACAAACACTGAGCATGTTCAGAAGTATAACCCTGCTTTATGAAACACCTTTCCGTAAATACCTATATGTAATAGACGTTTTCTTTTTTCAGCCTGCCTACGTGCTGCAGATTTTCCCACCATGTGAATTCTCCGAGAGCCACCTGTCGCAGCTCGCCCCCGACCTTCTCAACAGGATCTCCAGCATCTCACCACACCTCATGATTGTCATCACCTCTGTGTAACCGTCACTGCTGGGAGCCGTACCATCAACGGATGTTCTTGCTGATGAGCCTCAGGAAACCAGAGGAATATGAGACTTTGTTTTTGCCCGGACACAATGGGAATGTATAGGATAAACCCTATCAACGCTTTTTTTTTCGCCGTCTTTTTTCCTTTTGTCACTCCTGTCTGGTATTTTTTTTGTCCTTCTCAAAAGAACTCAGGGATGGACCGAACCAGAATCAGTCTTATTTGACCATTTCTCTGCTGTATTTCTATTTATTGGAGTTTTATTTTAATGTTCGGAGATGCTCTGAAAAAGAATCAGGATGTTTGATGAACAACATTGAGTGACTATCTGGGTGGCCTTTTTTTCTTTACTCTTGTCTTTTATTGATTGTCATTAATTTCTTCACAAGCGTGGATCATAGAGGCTGTTGCTCCGCGATGGCAATAGAGACATTTCAAAATGTAATTTTAAATAATTGTGTACAGACTTCCTCGCCCGGCTTTCTTTGAGAGGAACAATTGACTTATGGAGGCCCTGTAGGACCACGTTCGTTTTACAGCTCCTTTAATTCCACCAGCTCATTTTTCTCACCATCGTCGCAGTTTCACTTCTGGCGCCGGCCTTTGCATCGAACAAGCTACCTTATCATTTGGGAGTTTTTGAATACAGGACTTTGTAAATATTTTAAATATTTAAACTTTGAAAATGGAACTTGGACAACTTAACAGAGACTTGAAACTCTGGGACAAACCAGAATGCAAAGTGTGGAAATGTAGATGGATATCCTTGATTTTTGGGTGTAAATACTTGTAACACAAGAAGGTTGGCAAGCTCTCCTGTAGAGTCTGCTGATGGCACTTCATATTTTGTAACTCAAATAAAACAAACTCCAAAAAACTTGAAAAATGAAGATGTAATCCTTTATTTTTTTACATCATGTTTGTCATTTCTCACTCCTTACTCAAGATTTTATTTAAAAACTAGGTTACAAATGTCATCCAATACAACAAAGGTTTGAGTAAACAGCAGAAGGGGTTGTGAATAGTTTGCTAATTTCAATTGTAAAATGCACTTTTTATTGTCTTTAAATGAATTGGGGATCGACGAGCACAATAACGGCAAATTAACATGAATTCTGTGTAGGTGGACGATTCTCACATTTTTTATTTTGCATATAATTTTGATACTAAAGTGGTAATAAAAGTGTGCCTCAATTTCATATAAATTGTTTACAAATGAAAAATGTATTTAATGTTATGGATCGGTAGCTTATCTTAGAAAACCTTGACCTTTAGACGGATTTTCACATTTAAGTGTGTGTCGGACAATGTTAAAGGAGTACTGTACATTTACCCCAAGCAGGAGTTCACTAAGTTCTTATACACTACTTTATGATTGTCTTAGTGTTTCAAATCTACACGTGACCCCAAAAGTGCCACACGCTGTTCTTCATACTGGGAGATGTTCCTCTTCATGATGTCCATGCAGGGTCCCAGCAAACGCTCAAAAGCCTGGATGTCAATTACTGAAAGAAATAGAAAGTCAATTAAATGAATGTCATCATATTGCAGGCTCCTTGTCTTACACATGGATACATGTAGTTTAAAAAAAGTAGTGAGCCTGTCTAAAAGGAGTTGGATTCAACACATTTCTTCATGAATAACTTTCGCTTTAAAGAAATGTTTGTTTGCAGTCGAGTGCCATTTTTCTTTACGATGAAGACTGCCATTATTGGAGTCCATTACAAGCTCAGCAGATGGGGTGTGTCTCAATTAAATAACTTGATCAATATGATGTCAAACTAGAGGTTAAAAGGAATACAAATTGTATAATTAGAAGACATTTAAATCAAGAGGCTCAGTGGATATAATAGATTTAATAACAGTAGGGATGCAGATACATTGTATTGATATGTTCAGTGTCTTCCACAGCAAACTACAGCTTCAGTCTTTGCCTACTGCTTAATGGAAAGGGACTCAGAGCTGAACTCCAGTGGGGTGAGATATAGATGTCAGGTCTGTTGGCCCAACATAACTCTGGTTTATAAATGAGTGACTGCGTTCACTTTTGTCTCTACACAGTTCTCCCACTTTTTCAAAGACTTTGCCGGCCCTCAAAGTCATGCACATATCGTGGCATAGTTTGAGACATTTTTCAATGTTAACACATATACATATAATAAAACACCAGCAGGCTTTAAAGAAGCTCATATTGAACAATTCGGAGAGCAAGTCTTAAATGTGAGAGCACTCCACAACTGTGCTGCTGTGTTACAGTAAAAGCACAGCAAACCATATTTTGTGTAGATAGAGCATATAAACAGACATATTTACAAGTTGAAAAGCGAAGTAAGAAAACTTACATTTCTTTGATGGTCAAAATTCAATGAACTTTGCCTATTCATGACCATTTCTAAACTTCATTTTGTTCATCAAATTCACAAACTTTCAAGGACTTGTGGAAACAATTCCCTAAAATGAATTACTCCCTACACAAAGAAGGATAAACACTCGGGTCTTACCTAAACATTTGGTTTCTCCCACAGCGTAAACTGACGCTGCGCGGGGTTTGTTGGTGACCAGTGCCAACTCCCCAAAGTACTGTCCTTTAGAGCAGCGCGCCACCTCCACCTCTGTGTTATCCTGCTGGCCCGCCTTTGTCTGTAACACAAACAGCAGCCTGTGAGTCAATCAGTACATTAACATCACAGAAAAAAAATATTCAGGTTGCCAGGGTTATGATTAACCATATTATAATATATAATATTCCATATTAAGTTAAGTTAATATTACTAAGTTAATGGCAAAAACCAGCAATCAAATTCATAGATAAAAGAGGCTGATTATTCAGAACAACACATTTATTGTTCAGACTCACTTTGCTTTTTATCATTATCTTCACCTCTCCTGATTCCACAATGTAGAAACAGTCGGCCTCGTCCCCCTGCAGGAAGAAAACGGCACATTTAGTATTCAGTCCAACACAAAGACCAACAAAGATAGAGCGACAAATGTCCTAACACTTTACCTGCATTAATACGCACTCTCCATCTTTGAACACTCGCACTCCCAAAACATCCACAATCTGCATCCTCTCAGAGAGCTTGTGGAGGTAAAATAAATCACGATGTCACAACAAATGAATCGCTGACCAACCTGAATCACAAGGTAATGATGATTTTGCTTGTAAAGAGTTTGTGTTTTTTTTTACAAACCTCAAGAGACTTGAGAAGAGGAACGCACTCGATGAAGGCCTCGTACACCCTCCTCTTCTTCGCATTATTTCTAAGAATCAGCCTATGAAATGTGGCTCGATCCTGAAATTGCACACAAAAAGATATAGTGTTGTGTGTTTCATTTTAGCGTTTGTTTTGATTGTAGGCTACATTTGAATTGTTTTTGGACTCACCAGGCCCCACAGGGCTCCTTCCTGAGTTGCAGTGATGGTGGCAGCTCGCGGCGTGTTGTACATGAGAGCCAGCTCACCAAAACTGCCCTTATTGTCATACTTTCCAACACAAATGCTCACTCCGTCCTTCTGCACGAAAATATCATACACACCCCTGGAGGGGATAAGACACACAGAAGTCAGTAGAAGTCATTATAAGGATGCCTCAGGGCTCAGTCTTGGGGCCATTACTATTTATATTAACAATATATGTGAAGTATCAAAAACTATTAAAACCATTCTTTTTGCAAACGACACAAGTCTACTCTGCTGTGGGGACAATTTAGAACAGCTATTGGTCACAATGGAAAAGGAACTGAGCAGGATGAAGATCTGGTCTGACCAAAATAAATTAACATTGAACGCAAGCAAAACCAAACTCATAATATTTGGGAATCGATCGACCAATACAGAGAAGAAACTCACTATAAATGGCGTCCAACTAAAAAGAGTATCGGAAATAAAATTCCTTGGAGTAATCATAGACAATAAATTAAGTTGGAAACCACATATAAGCTATATCAAAGCCAAAATATCCAAATCAATAGCAATTCTGAATAAAGCCAAATACCTAAGTAATCAAGCTTCCTTGTTTATGCTGTACCGCTCCTTCATACTTCCATACATGATGTATTGTGTGGAAGTTTGGGGGAACACATATAAAACAAATACACATCCTATCTTCATCCTGCAAAAAAGAGCCATACGAGTTATACATAAAACTACGTACAGAGAACCAACAAATACATTATTTATCAAACTAAAAACACTAAAACTACAAGACCTGGTTGACTATAAAACTATTCAAATTATGTTCAAAGCCGCAAATCAACAATTACCTCATAATATCCAGGGACTTTTCACACGGAGAGAAAGCATGCACATGTTGAGAGGAAACTGCATTTTCAAAAAACCACCCGTACGAACAAATGCCAAACTTCATTGCATCTCATCAAAAGGTGTTAGTCTGTGGAATAACTGTACTGATGCACTGAAATGTTGTACAAGTCTATTTAAACTGAAAGTATTATTTAGGAGCCAAATCATTAATGGTTATGAACAGGACCTGTAAAATCCCATTTGTTATTTCTTGTAATTGTAAAAGTAATTTCTTTCTGATTGTTTTGTAAAAAAATAAAAAAAATAATAATACTAATAATTAACAAGACAAACATATCGCTGATGACGATGACCTAATATTTTATTTATAAGGAAAATGTATGCTAGAGGGGGTAGGACCAGAACAGTTTTTTTTAAGCTTCTTCTTGCCCCTGTTGAACATGACAGAGACTATTTGAGAATTATTATTATTTATTTTTGTTTTTTTCTGTTGTTTTTTTTGTATTATTATTTTTTTGTACTTTGTTATAATTATGAGTGAAAAAAACAAGAAAGAAAATAATATATATATATATTATTATTATTATTGTTGTATGTTTTCTTTCTGACATGTTAGATAAATAAATTGACAAAAAAAGAATTGACTAAAAAAAAAAAAAAATGACAAATGACAAAATGCCACCTAGTTTAACATTGTAAAGACACTTTGAAATCTGTTGCTCACTTCTCTATGACATAGAAGTTGTCTCCATCGTCTCCTTGGTCTATGATGTGATCCTGAGGTTTGACCAACACCTCGAACATGCCGTCCAAAACCTCAGAGAACTGCTCCTGCAGGACATCAACCAGGAATGTGTATGTATTAATGAGGAGAAGGAGAAAGAGGAGGAGGAGGAGAGGGAGAAGATGCACATACTCAGGTGATACAAAACTGGGAAAGTAGAAGCTTCAAAAATTAAATGGGGTCTCACTCTTTGTGCTCTCACAGTAACATTAGGTGTGTGTGTGTGTGTGTGTGTGTCTGTATAAAACCTGAATTTAATTAAAAAACTAAACACAAACCAGCCATCATCACAGTGTTGTACCTGCTCCAGGGTTTTGAACAGTAAGATGTCTCTGCAGGCGTCCTGGAGTCTGTGCCGCTGCTCGTCTGTTTTGGGATGCACGACCCGAGGCTCTGCATCATCGTCCTCATCGTCATCAGGGTTGTACGCTTCTGCACAGACTGCAGCAGGACCAACAAACAAAAACACTGTCAATCATAACCCTGGCAACCTGATTTAATATTCGTCACAAGTATTGTAACAGTTACTGACCTGAAACTCTGCGGTTGTATTTAGCCGTGGTGGACTCTGCCGAGAGGAAGACAGAGGCGGATGAATCACACTAGATTTGAGTGACCAAAATGTTACAAAATGTCATAGAATATTGAATTAAAATGTCATTGTTTAGCATGTGATACAAATGTCATGAAAAAGGCACAGAAAAGTAATTTAAAAGATAGTATAATAGTATGTCATTACATCATTTGTAAAAAGTAACAAAAAAACAGTCTTTAAAAAAGCATTGAAAAGCCATGGGACATCTATACAAAGTCATTAAAACGTTTCAAGAGAGTAACGTCATAGTTGAAGTGACCAGAGTGTACGGATCGATACCACATGAGTGAAAATGCCCTGAGCAGTCTGCTTTGATTCATGGCCCGCTGACCGTGTCACTCCACTATCACTAACAAATAATGACATAAAATGCTTGAGAAACAACCTTTAAAAATGTCATAGTATCATATGAACAAATCGTATTTATAAGTCATTGTATAGTATGTGGTAAAAAAGTAATTTATAAAGTCATAGTAAAGTTAATCATTAAAAAGTCATAAGAATGTCATGGTATAGTATAAAGCATCAGAGAGCTCCTCTGACGCGTGTGTGACGTGTGTTCTCGTGGGCACGTTTTAATTGTGTTATACATAGTGCATGTGTAGTAGGCTATTATCCTTCATGAACATATCTGTATAATTGAAATGTGTTTATATAGCAATCTTCTTTGTTTTATCTCGTATCATTTTGAATTCTCATCACTTTTTGCCTTGGCAGTTTTTAGCCACTGTTACAATATCCATGTACGGGATATTAGAGCTCCTTTTGGGATTACTTGAGGTAATGATTGTTATTTTGCATAATCATATCTGCTCGGTGTAGGGGGAGCAAACCTTTTTTAGCCAGTTTTTTTTTAACACATGTATGTAAGCCTTACTGTGAACTTGTAGGTCAAAACTTTGCATCAATGACACTTTTAAAAAAGATTGCACATTTCGTGTCATTTTGACAATATGAAGACTTTGAGGTTAAAAGACATCTACAAAATGACATTTCTTAGAGTAACATTTTCCATTTGAAAAACATGAAGTAGAAAATAAATACTTACTTACAGGCTCTTTCTCCTCCTCTTCATCCTCCTTTTTGGGCTTATTGGACTTTGTTTCAAAGGTCACTCCTTTCAGTGAAGATCTGTTGCTGCGTTTCTTGTTTTTTAGGTCATTTTTCTGACCCTCTAGAATTTGTGTAAAATGCTGCACGGCAAATTCCACCAAGTTTTCCGGCCTGCGTCGAAGCACCTCCATGGTGTAGCCCTGCAGCAGCTCCTTCAGGCCAGACGGTATCTCCGTGTTACTCATCGCACAGGGTCAAAGGTCACCCGCTGGACTCTGATAGTTCACAATCAACCCCAAAATATAAAATTCTCAGGTTAGAAAAATTAAATCTAAGCATCAGCTTGTCCCAGAGATTTGAGAGACATATTGGAGCATCATGCAGGGGCAGACTGACCCTCCTCTCGGCCCACTCTCTAACATTTCAGCAGCTTATTGATTTCTTTATTTAGCACGGCCTGTCGGAAAGTATTGACCAGGACATCAGATGTAATTAAAGGCTGTCCGATGGATTAGCACCCACAACGTGATGATTTGGCAAAGAAACAACAGAGAGAGCGAGAGAGGCCATTTTAACCGTTTACACTGGAAGCCAGGCTGGCGTTATAAAAGCTGCAGAAACAGACAACATGGCATAGATACGTTTATATAAAGTTCAAGTGGTTTCAAAAAATCACAATTGGAACATTAATTAATTAATTTCTGCATATAGAAAAAGCAAATACTTGTAATTATCATATTTTATTAGATCTCGCTATACTTATACTGTATATTTTAATAAACCTTTTTTTAAACTTATTTAATGTCTTTTATTTAGGCTATCATCACTCAGTTCATTATTATTGTTCTAATAAGCCAGGACAGTCAAGGCTTTCACTTTTTAACACAATAAATCCAATTTAAAAAGAGAATTCAGAAAAAATGCAAAAACAGGCTATTCTTCTAAATATGGATTCTGCTTTAATATTTGTACATGATGACATTCATAAACTGTTCAATCAATCTCAGTATGATTACTCTGATATTTCACATTAAAACAAACAGAAAGTGTAGCTAGCGTCGGTGTCGCTGAGTGGAGGCGGAGCTCACAGGAAGTGTTGTATTGCTGAGAGACTGAACACACACAGAACAACGCAGAGCACCTTTTCCCTGATATTCACACCTGCTCGCAGATAACGGTAAGGTAAGGCACGACATGCTCACTTCACTCCTTTTCTGATATAAAAAAGAACACCATTTAAAGAAAACAAGTAAAGCAAAAAGGAGTGAGAACAATCGGCTGTCTGTGTGTGTGTGTGTGTGTGTGTGTGTGTGTGTGTGTGTGTGTGTGTGTGTGTGTGTGTGTGTGTGTGTATATATATTGGTACCGAGCCAACATCTCTGCTCTGAATCCACCGCAGGTCTGAATGATCCAAGTGCCCTGCATAGCTTGAGGTTTCAAAGATAAAAAGCACATTATAGGAAATTGGAAAAATCTCTCTGTGATTCATTGAGTGTGTGTGTGTGTGTGTGTGTGTGTGTGTGTGTTGCTAATAACTACGTTGTGTTACGAGCACTCTTCTTCGGTTTCACAAATGAAGGCGATGCTGAGTCTTCATCACAGATCCGGTGCTATCCAGTTAAAGAACTTCATCGCCATCTCAAACCCTAAGAAACAAGCCTGAAAAAAATACACAAAGAAACACACACATTTTAGTTTGTTTATCATAGTGATGTAATAACATAGCCCTTAGATACATGTGACTAAATATGCAATAATTGTATTATTTTTCTCACTGCAAAGCTACAGTAAATCCAAAACATTGTGCCCTTAATTTCAGCTCACATCCTTAATAATTTTTTTTCATGAATCCATATCATGTAGAAACTTTACGTCTTAACTTGACCTGTAACTTTTAGCTTTATGAGGCGGTTCAAATGACAGCTTTTCCTTATTGATTCATCTTCCAGTTATTTAATTTGGTCTGAAAGATGTCAGATAGGAGAGGGATCATGCTTTCCTTTTTCTTGTTTTTGGTCTTAATCTTAAAACGTTGTCTTTGATTTGAGTGATAGGAGTCCATCTGATCTATTGCCTTTTCTTAGATCCTGCTGCCAATACAAGATTTATTCTCAATGGACGACTATTATTTGTTCTTTTACTCCTCAAACTGAACCCTGCTTTGTGTCATAACGCACTGTATAGCTCCTCTGACCCAATGTTACGGAAACCAAGGATAATTGAAGGGCACTCACAGCGTTTGCAGGGAAAGCTCTAAGCATGACTGCGTTGAAGCCTTTATACAGAGAGCCCACGCCCTCCTCTCTGATCAGCTCCCGCAGAACGTCCCGGAAACCATTGGGATATTTTCCATCAGGAGCTAAAGGAGAGACACATGTTTTAAACTTCGTAGAAGGAAAATTCATCTTCAGCAATACGAAAAAAGTGAAGACAGAAACACAGCTAGCAAAGATGTAAAAGCAGCCCTCGTTTGACTGCACTCATAGACACACCTCAACCTTTACTTTAACCTCAACAAATGATGGAATCTAAAAATAAACGGCCCTTAAATAATAAAAGGCATTTAATAATAATAATAAAGCTTTATTTATATAGCACTTTTCATTCAACACATGCAGCTCAAAGTGCTTTACAAAATGACACAAGTTAAAAACAAAACAAGAAATTCCCCTCAAATGCAGCAAAATGTAACATTTGCTCAGATAGACACCAGGAGGTCAAAGGTATAATAATACAAATAAAATAAATAATGGTTTCTCTCTGACAGATAAGACACAAGACAACGGAGTGGATGCAACAATATAAAATATAAAATATAATATAAAACCCCATAAAACAAAGTGAACATATAGGTACAACAGAAATAAAAAGATTAAAGACCTATAAAATAAATAAAACAATATAAAGGTAGGTAAATAATAAAGACTAAAAGAACATTTAAAGTGGGGGGTTGCTAATAAAAAGCTAATCTAAAACGATGTGTCTTTAGCTGTCGTTTAAACATTTAAAGGTAGGGTAGGTAAGTTTGAGAAACCGGCTCGAGATACACTTTTTGTTATATTCCATGGAATGCTCTTAACATCCCGATAGCAATGAATATCTTAAGTGCTTTGACAAAGAATCCATAAAGAAAATTCATCTGCCTGTCAGCCTTCCATCTGTGCACAAACTTATCTCGTGCCCTCATTGGTCATGTGCGCGTTCGTGTGTGTTGGAGGAGGGGCTCTGTAAGGAAGTGGCAGATTTTTTCCGGCTGTGTATTTTCAAATTCTAGCGCACTCGAGCTGGTTCCTCCAAAATTACCTACCCCACCTTTAACTACATCCTTGACTTCCCTTTTTCTAAAGTGAACCTGTTTGACTTGGAGCACAGTGCGTTACATCAAGTTGACTGCATCACAACTGAGAGCAGCGGCTGTTTTCTCCTCACCTGTTTGGTAACGTGACTTCAGAACGTCAGCTGGGATGGCGACGGCCCAGTTGAAGATGCCGGCCATGCCCCCGGCGAACAGCACACTGGGAATGCTGAGCTCGTTGTGGCTGCAGGGAGAACACACAGGGTTACATACTCAGAGGTCTTTTACACCATGTTGTTAATACTGCATTTAAGAACAAATATCCACCTTTTTCCCTCCGGTGTGAGGACGTTCTTCAACCACTCGTAGGACGTGAAGTACATCCCACTGGCTGGAACATCTACAAAACAGATAAAAGAGTGACTTTAGCGGGAATATTATGGACATAAGAAATCAAAGTGAATTGTTATTAATACAAAAACACATTATCATTAACATACACACCCGACAGGAGGGTAGACAAGACGTCATGAAAATGACCCTGAACGCTGACGTTGATTAATCACGGTTACAAAAGAGGGTAATTAGATTTCACGACAAAAAGCTGATGCTACGAGCCAGGTGCTGCGTCTTCAAAAGCACCTGAGAAAAATAGCAACGCTTCAAGTCCAGATCACAACAACGACAAAAACTGTACGTCTAATTCAAAATGTCTCAAGAAAGAGTAATGGCGGCCACAAGTGAACGCTGGATGACACTGAGAAGTGGAAAAATTAAACTCAATTTTTAACAATTAACATTGCACTGTTATAAAAATGTTTGACTCGTGTGTTAGACCAATTCAACACCAGCAAATGCATTGGATTTAAAATATCCAAACAGTATCTCAGTCTGTTTACACAAAAAACTCCACAGGGCATTTTTAAGTGACGTGTTCTCGTTGTTTTATCTAGCCGCGGTAAATGTCCAACTGACATCAAACTATGACTCCTAGGAAGTATCCGAGGAAAGCTTCACCTCTCATGAGAGTCAGAGCGGTGCCTCTGTAGATCCCTCTGATCCCAGACTGTTTGTAGAGCTGTTTCACACAGTCCATGGGTCCCGAATACTTCACCTCTCCTGTCGCTGCCTGGATCTGCACACGAGCGAGAAACATGTTTTTAAACTCACTGACATTTCATTTTTTAATAAAAAATCTACTATTAAGTTAACTGATTAGATCCTTGGTGTGTTTCATTATGCTAACGTATTCTTCCTCGCATCTTCTCTGAAATGGAAATGGAGGATTCAAATCAAATCCTCAGTCACACATATTTACATCCTTGTATTAGGAGCAGAGGGCAGTATCTTTACTAACGCTATGAATCAAAGAGTTCTCATTTAGCAGCTCCAGTCATCACGTCTCATTCTCACATTTCTCTCACACACACCTTCGCTGTTAGGAACTAAGACACGAGTCAAGGAAGCGAGAAGACACGTTAGCAAAATGAAAAGCACCGCCCTGTATTTCTGTCTGACCTGTAGGAGGCATTTGATTCGCTCTCCAGGAGCCATGATGGCCGTGGTGAACACACCAGATAACATCCCTGCCGCAAACAGCTGAGGATACCTTGAGAAGACAGGAAGCGTACATATTAACACTCTTAGAGAGTTTGAAACAGTTGAATGAAGAGTACCACAGTCTAAATCCAAGCCATCACCTACGTAAGGATATCATCGGGGGTTTTCTGTTGGAATTTCTTGCCCATTCCAAATCCAAGGAAACAGACAGCAAACATGGGTGTGACCCCGATGATCGGGGCTGCCATGCCTTTATAGAGTCCTTTGAAACCCTGGGATGGAAGAAGATGACAAGGTTACAGCATGACGGGGGAAATCCATTTAGCATGATATTCTTTATTTGATTAGTGAAGGCAGCAGGCATCCTCACCTCTTTGGCTAAGGTCTTTTTAAAGCAGTCGATGGTTCCAGCATAGATGAGCTTCTCTCCGGGTTTGGGTTTGGCTTGTGTCTGTAAACGCACCTGAAGGAGGAAGAGGATGCACTCTGTTTGTACGACTTCATACACAGAGACTTATCACGGTGGCAGCAGTTTGAACCTCACATTGTGTGTATCTTTGTGTGGTGAGCGCAACTATAGATCTTTAGGCTGAGTTTGAACTCCAACCACAAGCCTGTTTTAGATTTAGAGGAAAATGTTTGAGTTAATTCGCCTGGTGGCAAGAAGAATGACTCCTACTGTTGCTCGGTGTTTGCTTTATGTGTTAATAAGCAACTGTAACTACAATAGCAGCATCTCAATGCATATAGACACAGTAAACACAATAAGTGTTATGTTTCTTGGTTATAAAGTCTGCATTACAGTAAAGAGATGTCGTTTTCTGTATTTAACGGACTGTTCTAGCCGGTAAATAATTTGCCTTTAACAACTTAGTTATTATGTCAACATTACTGATGATCATTTGACAACATTTTCAATGTGTAAATAATCTGTGAAAGCATCAATGGCAGACCCGGCGCCAGAACAAATCTACAGAGAGGGCATATGATTTTCATGGGAGGGCACACAAAAACCACACAAACACACACACACACACACACACACACACACACACACACACACACACACACACACACACACACACACACACACACACACACACACACACACACACACACACACACACACACACACACACACACACACACACACACACACACACACACACACACACACACACACACACACACACACACACACACACACACACACACACACACACACACACACACACACACACACACACACACACACACACACACACACACACACACACACACACACACACACACACACACACACACACACACACACACACACACACACACACACACACACACACACACACACACACACACACACACCCTTTAATATTGAAGTTAAAAGCATCAATCTGGTGCACTCTCAACATCAATATGAAACAGAACTGTAAACAGATTTTCTTTTTCTTTATGGATATTTTACAAATCACTCCCCTTTTAAACTGTATTCTTGTCTTACTGTCTTTTATTTAATCGTTTATTTGAATAGGGACAATGCACATTAATGAACACTTTAGACAAATAATGCTTCAAGTGTAAACATGCCGGATTTTAGCTTTGAGCTCATTTCCATCCGTAGTCCCTGACATACAACATATAAGAACATGACATGTGTATACATAGCAAAAAATAAATACATGATATCCAAAAAGAGCAAGTGCAGCACACACAAGTATTTACCACATGGCAGTACACTATAGCAGCAACGACATATAAAGATTGCACGTCTGTTTGTTGCTCAACCATTCTTTGAGTTGACCTTTGAAGCTATTGAGAGTGGGACAATCCCATATCTCAGTTGGGAGGCTATTCCAGAATGAGCTGCCTTTAATGGAGAGGACATTTTGTCCAACAGTGGTCCGTCTACGGTGGACTTCACAGTCTCCTCTGGTTTCTGACCTAGTGCAGCGTCCAGTGTGCTTTCTGTGGATGAATTCCCCTAAGGGAGGGGGGGGCCAGTCCATGTAAACATTTATAAAAAAAACACATACTTTTAAAAGACTTAAAATGGTCAAAACTCAAGAAATTGTGTTTTTCAAGGATGGTACAGTGGTGGTATGAATATGGCTTTCTGTCAAACACCTTGATAGCTCTCTTGTACAGCTGTTCTATTGGTTTCAGGTTTGTGGCACAAGCAAACGACCAGTTTGTCAAACAGTATTCAATGTGGGATAGAATCATACAGTGGAGGTATGACATTTAAGAAAGGTCTAATTTGTTTAAAATGTTGCAAGTTGAATTTAATGGTATTGGATACTTTCTTAATATGTTTCTTAAAAGTCAAGTTTGAGTCCATTATGACTCGAAGATACTTGAAGTTGGGGACTAGTTCTATTTCTGCTCGGTTTAAAAACACATTGGATCCTTTGATTTTGTCATATTGTATTTCATAACTGTTTTTCATGCATTACTCTTATATTACTATTTGACATCACATACATCGTAGCATTAAAGTTCACAGTTTATTTATAATTTAAAAAAGAATGATAAAAAAAACGTGTTTATTGGGGGAGGGCAGGGATGTCAAATGGGAGGGCCTGGGCCTGGGCCTGGGCCTGGCCCTCCCACGGCGCCAGGTCTGGTCAACTATACAATATTGATACCAATGTATTTGGTAAAAAAATAGTTTGATATATGATTCTTTTTCATATTGCCCAAGCCTTAGTCCTTAGTTTCCTGCACCTTGTTGGCCGGTGTCATTAAGGTAATATTGGCCAACTGGCTGTTGGATAGGTATTAAGAGTATTGAACTAATTACTTTATATCTAATTGAATGACAACAGACTTCAACATACCTGACTGTATATATAACGTCCTGCATTCAGGTGAGGTACTTAAGCCGAGTCATGTTACAGTGAATGTGGGTCAAAGGTGCTCAGCTCTGCGCAACAACATATAATAATAATATTTGCATGAGTGCGATACATCCACCTGGTGCCCTCTGGAGGTTTATCCTAATGTAAAGCCAGTGTATTAGTGAGGGGCTTTAATCACCTTAATGGTGTCGAGAGGGTGTCCGGCTGCGACAAGGCAGACTCCTCCAAAGCCTCCAGCGAAGAAGTTCTTCAGAGGACTGATCGCCTGCTGCTTCTGTTTGGACATTTTGACTGAAAAACACAACAACATGAATGGAAGCGACACCGGAAATAGATGCAAACTCGCCTAGAAATTAGTTTTAAAATAGTAGGAATTATATCTTACCTGTGTGTTTGTGTCTCGGTGAGGTGTGTTGGTGAGCTGCTGTCACTCCTGCCTCTGGACCTTTCACCCACTTTCTCACCCGGACCGCTCTGAGTGCGACACCGCCGCACTCTGGTACGTCCCTGCGAAGCATCCGGGTGGAAACTTTCTTCTGAGGTTTAAAAAGTTTGAAGAAATAAGTGACAAGTAAAAGATGAGCAACAAAATCAATTAAAGAAAAAAACAATATAAAAAATATATATTTAATATGTATAAGTGTATTGGTGATTTTGGACAACATTGAATTGATATTCTCACAAAATTAAAATGATCACACTTTTTATTTGATTTATTATATCATAACAATTTACCCCTGACCCCCCATCCCTATCTATCCACCAACCAAGAAGACAGTAATACTTACACAGACCGAGCATCCTTATTTAGATCTTATGTCTTATTATCTCATGTCTTATATCTTAGATATTAACTTTTTCCACATTAAAATAGTTTGACCAAACATGAACGAAGAACATTTTAAGAAATACTAATAAAAGCAACAATGGCAGGCAAAAAAGTATTTAGTCATGCAAATGTCAAAAAAACCTCTGATCATGTGAATATTTGAAATATATGAATATATGAAAGGAGGTTTAAATGCTTGACTAAAAACTTGTCAAATACTTACTTAAAAAAAAAAAAGAATCCATATAATAACTATGGCAATATTACTGTATTACTTAATCCATTGTACAACCATTGGTATATATATAAAAGAAGGAGAGGAAAAAGAAGGTATGCGATTGTTTCATAATATACACCTACAATACTATTAATAATATATCACGTAGTTTAAAATAAAATATACTGTATGACTCAATTAACTATATATATTTATCTAACACTATACTGTATATCCAAACAACAAAATGTAACATTTTTTATTTATGAAGTTGTCATGCAGTGTCATGTTTAACTTTAGTTTAATGTATCTTGAATTTGTTTTTCTTTCTTTTTGTGATGTATAATCTTCAATATTACCATATCATATATTTTCCTTAAAAGTGTATACCCAATATTTAATTAATAAAACAAATGAATGTATATACTTTACATAAGTCAATGGTTTGCACGAACAACATGCAAACATGTCCACAGGAAAGGAAAAACAGAAGGTCTTTCTTAAACCGGGTAAACTGGGGTTAACAAACATGATCATGAGCAAAATGTAACCGTTTCCTTTAACATCAAACTCTAGACTTGCTGGAAGCTGCAACTTTAAAACATCTGTGTATCTCTTATGCTGGTTACATGCGAGACAGTGTGACCAACAGCATGTTTACAAAACTCTGAAATAATGTTTAATTGTGCTTTATAATTGTACTGTCTTCAAATGAACAACAACCAATCCGACCACGTGCACTGTTAAAATATAGCTTTATTAGTTTTAACACAGTCGTAACTCTTTTGCAGACAATGTTAATCATAAAAAGAATAGATGCTCACCTTTCTCACACACACTGTAAACAGACTCACATCTAATTAATGAACAAATACTGTGTCATTAACTAAAAACTGATATCATTTCTGGATTTCATCTACCATCTCCAGACGGGTCGCCATGCCGGGATCAAAACACAGATGAGTAGGATGGGAAAACATCGATCACTACATCATGAGGGAGAAACAAGGAAAGGTACATGTTGCTGTTAGAGTATTAAAACTAAAATTAAATAAAATACTTTATTTCTTCTCTCCATTGTCTTGATTTTCAGTAAGAGAGCATCAGATAATTAACTGGAAATCAACAACGCTAACGAATGTATTATCTTGAGTAATGACTGCAGAACACATTTCCCCTCCAGAAAGACTCAGCATATTACAGCAATATTGAAAGTGGCTATATAGAGACTTATTGCAGCAGTTAGTTTTAGTTTTAGTGTGAATGCAGCATACAGACACTAATCTGTAAACAGCCAAGACTTCTGACGCTAGAGGAGCTTTGCATAATAAGTACAGAGCGGTTATCTTAAAGTGTTTGAGAAGCAGTAAAGAGACAAAAGTACCGGACAGAGAGATCTGCAGGGGCCACAGGAGGGACTTGATATGTAGCAGCGGGTGACTCAGCTAATGATAACAGAGGAGTCAGTGTGCTCTCCCGCACTAGAACAGAAAACATGATCAACTCGTTCTACTTGAATTTAATTCTTATTATACTGAGTGAAGAGGAAGTCAGTTTTAAGAGTTGAATACTCTTTTAAGAAAACAATGATGTAACACACAGTAGTTTGGTCCCGCTACAACGGAAGCACATTAAGTATTTTCACAATAGATTGAATAATGGCACATTGTTCTGTAACATAACCTCAAATCTGCCTTTTTCAGTCAAAATCTTTGAATTTGGCCTAATTTGGTAAAATATATTTTGGTTATATAATGTTAAGTTGTGGTTGCAGCACATTTTCATTATACATACTCTGAGTACATACAGAGAATTGTTGTGTGATTTTAAAGGTCATTATTGCAAGGAATTCACTGAGAAACAGCTCCAATGTTTGGCCTACGTTTTAGATATGAATCCTCAAGTATGACTAAACCTCATATTTTCCCTTCTTGTTCAAGAACACCAGAGAAAGAAACCTCCCACTCCCACACAAATATAATTCATCTGAGAATGGAAGGAGCTGTGACAAAAATCACATGCATGCTGCAGCCGTGGACCACAAGTCCAAGAAAACATTGGCAAAACCGATTTGTTTCTCCTATCACAGGCTGGCACAGAAAGCAGGGCGTCGCATCAAATGTCAAGTGTTCTTCCTCCATGTGTTCCTCCCTGCAGTAGACGGGAGCGGACTACAGTGTGTGAGCATGATACTGATACGGTTAGTCCTGGTTCTCACTGATCTGAGGGAACTCTTTGTAGATCTGCTGTACAATTAGCTTATCCATCTGTTTCGCAGTAGCGCTCCCTTCATCCTCTCCTGGATCTTCCTCCTCCCTGAGAATCCTCTGCAGCACCCCCTGCAGGTCAGGCAGGCGGTGCTGGTGTTCCAGGTAGTCCGTCGAGCGTATGATGGAGTGCATGAGGGAGAGATACTCCATCCTCAGCTTCATGGGAGAGCGAAAGAGGGGGTAATAATCAGACATAGTTACAAACAATTAACATTTGCTTTTTTAGGAAAAACAGTTATTTGCTTTCTTGTCCAAAGTTAGATGATAAGATTGGTATATGAGACCTCTCATATCTAGCAAATAAATAAGAAGCTGCAATCTCGGGGAAGTTTCTGCTACTGGCGTCAAAATATTATGGCAAAAAACACCATTTCTGGATTTAACACTTTATTTCATACTGATCAAAAAAATAAGTTATAACTGGTCTGTTAGTAAGCTTTAGAAATTTGAAAGGCAGATTTTGTTATCTTTTGAATAACAAGGTTAGCCTTTTCCTCATCTTTGTGCTAAGCTAACCAGCTGAATTTACGGTACTAAGAATTGTATCAATCTTCTCGTCTACTTCTCAACAAGAAAACAGAAAGGAGTTCTTCCCAAATGTGAAACTACTACTTTAAAGCACAAGATCAATCAGTAGCCTGTCCAGGTCTCACCTTGTCTCCAGGCGAAAGGTCCGATATCTGTCTGACAGCAATATCAATCATCACCATCATGTCAGTGCGGTAGAAAATGTCAGCGGTCTCTCGGTTGGAGAAAGCGTCCTGCAGGAACTTGAGCACTGAGTGCGGTGCAGGCGGGGTGTGTTTGAACATACACACAGGGTCGTCTGGAGGGGAGGTGTCAAAGAGTCAGTCATGATGACGTCGGTACACAAAAGCATTGATGCAGAATGAGAAATATCACAACAGTGTATTATCTTACCGCCTCTGTTCAGAAGCAGCAGCACTTTCTCTGACAGGATCTTGACATTTTTCTTCTTCAGCTCCTGCATGATCACATTGCTGTCGGGTGCTGGGTGACACAGACAACACAGAAAAAAATAGTCAAACAATAAAAGCTCTGTACGTCAGCTGAGAAATAAAAATGTAGAACTTGTTAGTGTAGGGAAGAGTATTAGGTCCAGGCATAAGGAGAAACAAATAAGAGTAGGATACATTTGTAATTTTGCATTGCAGGAGTTATTTGAAATGTTGGGAATAATAGTTGCTGGATCTATTCTTGCCAATGACAAAATATCTTGTGTGGTGCAGTGGGTTGTGCGTTGGTGTTCGGATCAGGTTCAAACCCCACTGCAGTCAGCATGTCGTTGTGTCCCTGGGCAAGACACTTCACCCCAAATTGCTCCTGTGGGGATTGCCCACAGTATTGAGTATGTAAGTCGCTTTGGATAAAAGCGTCTAACAAGTGACATGTCATGTAATGTAATGTAATGTCATGTAATCTTCCTTCCTTCTCCTTTCATAAGCCTGGCCCTAATACACTTCCACAATTGTGCATTGTAGCAATTTTTTTGGCAGGCATTTTGATTTATTGTGGCAGGAAAAGCAGAGGTATTACACATCAAATTAATGATGGCTCTGCTTTTCCGTCCAGGACCAGAGTCCTAATAATGTAATCATTTATATTTTTGCTGTGTATTTGCTGCTGTTCTCACCCGTGTGGTGCAGGTTGAAGGAGAGCACGAGGTTCAGGAAGATGTCCGGCAGCTGCTCTGTGGGATCAGAGGGAAGCCCGTCCTCCACCACACCCAGCAGAAACTGAACAAAGTCTGCATTCAAGTGTTCTGAAAGCAGGGAGGGTCAGGATTACGTTTTAAGAATCAAATAAAAACACATTATCCCTGTAATACACCTTATACTGCATGTATGTAAAACTTAAAGACCAGGAAAATCAGCATATATATATATATATATCGTTTTATGTCTGCGTATAAGCTAATATGCAGAGGAGAACTGTGAATAAACAACATACCGTAGTGAAGATATGGCACCTGTTCGCCCATTGAGAAGATCATAGTGAGTACCAAAGCTGTGTAACAGATCTTCTGGTGCTCTGAGGACAGAAACACAGACCAGGAAAGAGAAATGGTGGTCAATATAAAGAAGGGTAATACTACAGATGAACAGGAGACAGGGGAGAGTTAATGTGTTCACCTTGTGTGTCAGTCTGTAGGTCCCTGGCCAG